TCTCTCTCTCTCTCTCTCTCTCTCTCTCTCTCTCTCTCTCTCTCTCTCTCTCTCTCTCTCTCTCTCTCTGTGTGTGTGTGTTTGCAGGAAATGGCTACCAAAGCCCGAAGCGAATGGATATTGTTGGGAGGATAGGTCAGTGGCAAACACTTATCTAACATGTGTGAAGCACTGGGATTGACCGCAAGCACTGGAAAAAATAAAAATAAACAAAATAAAATGAACACACATACACAAACAGAGTGCTGTTTGGAGAAAGGTGGACACCTTGTTGAAGATTTAGCCAGCCAGAAATCTTTCAAAGGAAAAGACCTTCCAAGCATGCAAGAAGTCAAGCTGGAGAGGCCCCTGCACACAGGCCTTGGTGCAGGCCTAGGGAATGTGGGCCTGAAGAGCTGTGTTGAGGACACCCAGCACTGGGGGGGTGCTTGTGGTGATATTTTGTTTGTGCTCTACCAAAGAATGCCTGTGTACACGGAGGTCAGAGTGTGGAACTAGGCACTAGTTAACCACAAAGGCCACTCAGTAGTGGCACACACCTTTAATTCCAGCATCTGGGAGGAGGAAACGGGAAATGATGTGTCTGGGCAGAGAGAGGAAGCGACTGAGGCAGGGTAGAGACAGGAGTTTGACCCTGTTTTGACTGAGAGGTTGGCGAAGTAAGAGGAGGCTGTGGCTTTACCCTTATATCTGACTCTGGGTTTGTTTGTTTGTTTGTTTTTGGTTTTTGGTTTTGGTCTTTCGAGACAGGGTTTCTCTTTAGCTTTGGTGCCTGTCCCAGAACTTGCTCTTGTAGACCAGGCTGGCCTCTAACTCCCAGAGATCTGCCTGCCTCTGACTCCCGGGTGCTGGGATTAAAGGCCTGCACCACCACCGCAGGGCCTGACTCTGAGTTTTATTGTTAAGAGCAGTTAGAATTTCTGCTACAGGGGCCTACATCCTTATCTCAGTAGTGAGTTCCTTCAACTTGGGAATTCATGCTAGCTTAAAAACTACAGTTTCTAGCCATAAATAAAGGACATTGAGCCTACAATTCGGGTTCTTAGAGAAGCTAATAAGAAGGAGAACCCAAAGAAAAACATATAGGCATCCTCCTGAATATTAACCTTCATCAGGCGATGAAAGGAGACAGAGACAGAGACCCACGCAGCAGTCTGAAATCTCAAGGTCCAAATCAGGAGCAGAAGGAGAGAGAGCACAAGCAAGGAACTCAGGACCGCGAGGGGTGCACCCACACACTGAGACAATGGAGATGCTCTATCGGGAACTCACCAAGGCCAGCTGACCTGGGTCTGAAAAAGCCTGGGTTAAAACCGGTCTCACTGAACATAGCGGACAATGAGGACTACTGAGACATCAAGAACAATGGCAATGGGTCTTTGATCCTACTGCATGTAGTGGCTTTGTGGGAGCCTAGGCAGTTTGGATGCTCACCTTACGAGACCTGGACGGAGGAGGGTTTTCCTCGGACTTCCCACGGGACGGAGAGCCCTGATTGCTCTTTGGGCTGACGGGGGGGGGGGAATGGAGGGGGGGGGGGGGAGGGAAAGGGGAGGCGGAGGTGGGGAAGAGACTGAAATATTTAATAAATAAAGAAAGAAAGAAAGAAAAAAAAACTACAGTGGTGTCATACTGCTGGGCCGTATCCGTTTGTCATCCACTTCACCGCAGGACTTCCCCTTACCTGGCTCAGTAACTCATGCAGGGTATCACTATAGCCCCTCTCCACGTCTCTGATGGCCTCCTTCTGTGACGCCTGTGCACACAAAACCCATAGATGCTCAAGCCCCTTGCATACCCCATCCTCCTGTATATGTTACTTTCATGTATTTGTGTGAGGCTGTGTACCTGTATATATGTGTACATATCTGAGGAAGCCAGAAGACAGTGTTGGCTATCTTCTTAACTACTTCCTCACCTTACTTTTTGAGAAAGGGTTTCTCACTGAATCTGGAAGCCAGGGATCCTCTTGTCTCCACCCCTCCAACACTGGGATTCCCAGCTCTTTTTCTGGTCCTAGGGATCTGAACCCAGGCAATCACGCTTGCATGGCACGTACTCTTACCGCAGACACATCATTGTCCCCTCTTTACTTTTTTCTTTTCTTTTCTTTTCTTTTCTTTTCTTTTCTTTTCTTTTCTTTTCTTTTTTCAAACAGGGTTTCTCTGTGTAGCTCTGGCTGTTCTGTAACTCACTCTATAGACCAGGCTGGCCTCAAACTGACAGAGATCCACCTGCCTCTGCCTCCCTGAGTGCTGAGATTAAAGGTGTGCGCTACCACTGCCCAGTTTGTCCTACATATTTAAACCTCTCCATATCACCTAAAATACCTAACACACAGCAAATGCTATATAATTAGCTATACTGATTTGTTTATGGGATAGGGAATGTTTACACTTGACACACATGTGTGTGTAACACACACACACACACTAAATAACCTCTCCCTATATATTTGTATTGAAAGAAGTCTAATATGAATGGTTCCTGACCTCTTATGATTGCGCTTGTTGTCAATCTTTCGTTAGTCTTTTGCTTTCAGGCTTGATCAACTGCATTTTAATAGGCTGAAGAACTGTAAGCTGCAGGGTGTTCAGTATATAAGCTGAGCAGAATGTTCAGTTTTAGTTGTTCTTGCTTATTAGCTCATTTGGTGAAATTGGGTCTTTGCTCTACCAATGATTTGATTTGTTTTTCTGAAAGAAAAAAAAAACTGCTTCCTTTCTGATGATGGATTTGGTCAGGGAACCAGAATGCGGGACTTGGAACGCACTAACTAATGCATTGCTCCCATAGACCGAGTTCTTGGGAATGAGAGCTTTAGCAAACTGAGGTGAACCCTTAACTATTTTTTAAAGTAATGTGTTAATAATTCAGCAATTTTGTAAGAATTTATTTGTTAGCTATAGAAGTCATTTGGAGTTTCCCACTGATCATTTCATGCCCAGGCGTTGGCTTCCCTGACCTGCCACAGTGGATGTTCTGTGATATACGTTTCTTTTACTTCAAGTCACAATATTTCATCATTGTCAAAAGAGAATTTAGGAGTAATTCGGTCTCACCCATCCAAGTCTGCAGTGAAGGGCACAAATGGGAAATAAAAGATTCGAGACTTGACCCATGTCCACTGCCTCAATAAGATGATACTCTTCATATTAGGTTTTGCTATATAAAAATTATTTTATTACCCCAAAGAACCAAACACTAGCTTTGCCATATGGTGAATTTAACATGGATTGAAATACACGGTCAATAATGATGTAGTTAAGTTTCTCAGTTAAGTGAAGGAAATTAACTAAAAAATCTTTTCTACTTCTGCTCAAGTGGATAAATATGCTACAGAGAGGTGGCTTCTTGTGTCACGCTTCCGATTTTCTTTGTTTGCATTGTAAACCTGGATATTTGAAGGCATAGCGGTGCTTATGCGCCTGTAACTCTAGCTTGAGACCAGACAGGAGGGTGCGTGTACAAAGAGTCACAGGCAGTCAGCCAACAGACCAATCAAATCGTTACACCCCCCCCCCCCGCTGCACCCATTTCAGTGTAAGCATCCATGCTTCTAATTAATTGAAAATATATAGAACAGACCTAAATGCCAGTCAGACAACTACATAACTACTGCGTACGCCTCCCCCATATTTACTGTGTCCCCTACTATGCTTTAATGTCTACTTTCAGGCTACATTGTCCATTTATATGCCCGACCTTACCCATGTGTGTTCATATGTTCATTAATGCTGGTAAAGGTCACGTGACCAGAACCTGACCATCACATACGAGGAAACAGTTGCCTTCAAATCATTCTAGAAGAGAGTACAGCCGGTGTCATCGTGTGAGATAACGTGGCTAAGGAAGAACGAGCTTCAAGTTTAAAGTTGATTTAAATGACAGCAAAAATATTAACCTCATGTTCTTTATTTGATAGGTGCTTCGGATTCAGAACATTTTATCCGAAGAGCCCAAAGTAACTGTGGTTTATGCAGAAAACGGCACAGTGTTGCAAGGTACTACGGTTGCCTCTGTGTACAAAGGCAAACTGCTGGTTGGCACCGTGTTCCACAGAGCTCTTTACTGTGATCTGTGACAAGCTGGCTGCAGCCATGCCATGGAAAATATAAGCCCATGCCATGGAAAATAAGCCCACCATTTCCATCCTTTCCCATGTCAAAGGTGCCTATCACAGTGATCTCTGCTGCCTACTGAATGTTGACATTAAACTTAGACATAAGAAGGCGTGAGAGTGTTTACTGGCGACAGATGTGAAAAGCAAGGATTTCTTTAGTTTGTCTTGGACTACTTGGAAGATCTCAGTTACTAACAGAAACTCTTCCACCAAAATGACTAAATTTGTCAAGTCTACATAATTTGTGCTATGTTCGAAATGTTCCGACAGGTTTGTATGCTGTATCTTTGGTCCTTAGCTGGGGGGTGGTATTTTTGGAGGGGTTGGGAACTTTAGGAGGTGGAACTCCACTGACGGAAATATGTATCAGGGAGGAATGTGCTCACAGATTATATGTGGCTGATTCTCTGCTCCTCTCGGCTTCCTGTCAGCTTTAAGGTGGGCTCTCACCAGGTTCCTGGTCTGAGTTGCCGTCTTATTGTAGGCCAAGAAAGAGTGGAGTCAGATGTGGACTGGGCCCTCCAAAATGAGCCAAAATAAGTTTTATCTGCTCTTAGTTATACTAGGCTATCTGTCAAGGCATCGGGAAAATCAGCAACATCTTGTATGTAACTCAAAACACATTTTCCTGGTAATATTCAAGATCCCTTAAAGCAGATGAGTGGACTTCTGCCTCACTGTTGTTGAGAAAACAAGAGAGTACGGCCAACTCTGGGCACTCTTAGGTCACTTAGGGACTCTAGGGTCACCAAAGTGTCACCATGAAGACAACTCTCAACACCTCATGAAGCCAATGCTGCCAGACTGCTGGTTTCTCCTTTTCTCTATAACTTCCTCCAGAAATAGAAACTGCAGTTAGCTCCTCTGCCTTTGCATTGGGCTTTTCAATTTTCCCATAGTTATGTCAAATAGGAGACTCCTAAGATCTTTGGGAAGGTTCTCACACTCAAACATGATTTCGGCTCTCTGGACACACTATACATTCTGCTTATAAAGTCCCAGAGAATGGAGGCTTTGCTTCTTTTGTCACGACTAGATTCAGTAGTCTATAACCCATTCCACGTGGTGCTGAGTGCCCTCAGGTCCATGCTGTTCAAATGGTGCCAGGGATGGGTTTTGTTTTGTTCGGCTTTACCTACTCTAACTTGCTGTGGAGACTGAAAACAGAAAGATCAACAACCTTTGGCAATTTTCTGAGAGGAAAATTTCACTTTTCTTATCTTGGCTCTGGAACAAGAGATAGTGACACATCACTGTTTGCCTGTTTAAAGACAGACCCTCCGGCTGAATGACTTCTCGGGAACATTAAAGCAGCCGCTTTATAGACAACAGCCATGGCGTTTATCTGTTTTTTTTTTTTTTTGAGGTGTTTGTGGGGGGTTGATGAGAAACTGTAAAATTGTCATTTATGACAACACATTGGAAGTGTAAAACAAAACAGTTTATGCATCATGATATATCTATAATTTTAGACTTAGAATACTGTGGCAGTGGGATCATGAAGTAAAATCTCATCTCACGAAAACCAAAATAAAAACATATAAAACTTATTTTCATAAAAGAACCACTTTATCACAATGGGATTTAAGTGATTTTAGTCAGTTTAGTGCAGAAAACCAGGTATCCTAGTGTTCAGTTAGTCAGCGACGGCAGTTTCCCAGCCCAGGAGGTCTGACTCTCTGGAACACTGGTTATGACCATCCATGAACGTGGTGCTTAAGAAAGCAAACCTCATGTGATTTTTTTTTTAATGTCTTGACTAGCTAGCCATCACCATACCATCAGTGAAATGACCATACCCTCTTTCTGTTTATTGGTGACTCAAGCTGATTCTTCAGAAAAAGAGAAGGCAAACAAAATGAACTGGCATGCATCTAAGGCTGTCCAGAGAGGGCAGACTCTGGTGAGGGGTGGGTGCATCTAAGGCTGTCCAGAGAGGGCAGACTCTGGTGAGGGGTGGGTGCATCTAAGGCTGTCTGGAGAGGGCAGACTCTGGTGAGGGGTGGGTGCATCTAAGGCTGTCTGGAGAGGGCAGACTCTAGTGAGGAGTGGGTGCATCTAAGGCTGTCCGGAGAGGGCAAACTCTGGTGAGGGATCGTTAGCACACATTCCATAAAGGGGAAAACAGGTTCACTTCACTTATTCTGTGAGGTCAAGACAGAACGCAACAAATAGCCTTCATTTGTTTTATTCAAGCTTCCTTGGACTTGGAGAGCTTAGAATGAAAAGGCTAAAACAACCTGGTGCCCCTGTTATGTGAGACTGACTGCCCAATGGATGTGCCGCCCGCCTTTCTCTGGCCGAGGAGCACTGGAAACTTGATGGCGAAGCAGTGACAAAGGACAGGAGAGGTGGACAAGGCGCTCCAGCTGGAGGCCCTGCTCTTTAACTTTATGCCCAGCTCCATAATTGTGCTTTCAAGTGTAATTCTAGCTGCCAATTTACACTTTGCCAGAGTTAAAACTTATTTTTAGATTCATTTCCATGAAAAATGTGCACTTTGCTCTTGATGGATAGATATGTTTTGATGGTTGATGCAGGATTGCCCAGTCAGGGCTTGTTTCAGTTGAAGGTGAAAATGGAAGAGGAAAAATAAAACAAAGAAATATATACTCTGGCAGATGACTGTATTTCCTTTTATTGCATTCATTATCTAATAACAGTAATACTCATTGGCAAGAAATATATTTACACCAACAAATTAAATTTAATCACAGGTATTTTTCAGATGGTCAGAAAACAATGAGCCACTTATATAGAGTTTGCTTTGAATGCCTCTGAAAACAAAGAGTAAGGAATGGCATTTGAAACAGCAGACACTAACCAAGCACCAGAGAATAGCTCAGATGTGGCACTATTGTCTCTTCCATGCAAACAATCAGACCGCAGAACATACAAATTAACATTTCAGGTAATATGCTACCCATACTCACCAGACTCAAATGGTTTGCAAACCACTTCTTTCCCTTTAGCAATATATAGCGAAAGATCAAAACAAATAGCATCTTACGTGACACCAATTTTATGCTCCTGGTTTCCAGCTGCCTAGTCTTGTCCGTGATATGTAGTAGATGTACAAGTGGCTTCATCAAAACATCATTGAAAAAATGCAGAAGCAGTAGTTATGACATTAAATAATACTGGGGAGGGTATAGTACACACACTTAGAGATTTTATTAATCGCTGTTTGAACCTAATGTTGCTGGGAGGTGTTATTTAGCATGACAATCACTTGGGCGGTGTTATCTAGCTGATTTTTTTGTAAAGGTAATTTAAGGTATTTTTGGCTAATTATTATTTCATGAATGAATACTTAAATCCTTAGCAAGAAATTTATGTGTGCATCAAACAGCTGAAGGTAATGGATGTACACGCCTTCCAAAGACATATACTCATAACCCATTGTGCTATTTTTGATGGCAACCAAAATGCCATTGCAGGCTGATGGCATAGGAAGTAAATAGTGGTCACATGACAGAAGTACTTGTCACCAGAGAGCCAGTAGTTAGTGACAGAAGCATCAAGGCTACTGCAGACCTCACCATAAAGGAGAGAGAGCTGACACACAGGAACACAGAGTGCAATTTCTAGCAAGGAAGCTGCGGTCTGCAGTGGGAGATGCCCAGAGCTGCATATCTTCTGATTCCTAACTCTAAAAAAAGTGCAATCCGGACATCAAAGCATTAGCCAAACCTTTGAGGAAAATTCATCTTACTAAAATATGATACCAAAGATCTAATAAATCAGTTTTACCAAAATATATAAACATTTAGAAGCGTAAGTGCATTTAGTAGGATACTTACATTAAAATAAAAAACTTCTTAAAAGCTACGAGCCATTCAATGTTTACACAACACAAAAAGTGGAGATAAGGCTATGACTGCAGCCCAGGGTCCTAACTATCACCACTGTAGTCCATGGATAGTATATTTCTATGCCACGTGCTTATGGTATATATGTGTGTGTAAGAGTGGGGACATAGTCACACACAGTTCTGACACCTACACAAGTGCCATGCACACAGCTGAGAATTTGTGGCTTGCTCTCTTATTCCTTATGTCTTGCACGATGCCGGATCCCTAATGGTCTGGGGTTGATGGGGTCAGGGCTAGGAAGCATGGAGTCTCTCTTGCTCCCTACTCTGAGGATACAGAAACAGGTCCAGGTGCTCACAAGTTTGAGTCTTCAGTAACATTCGCCGACAATCCCACACAGACAGCCTTGCACAAACAGGTGAGAAGACCCTAGGCCTCCCATGATGGAACTGGCATCACTTAGCGGGGCAGTTAACTGTGTAGGCTTTTCCCTTTTCCTCTAGCTGCTCAGCATAACTTTTTCAAGTCATGAAAATGAGTTTTCTCTGGTGTTATCCCCGCTCCCCTCCCCTGACATTGTGGCTTAAAACTAAAGTTCATGGAACTTTAAATATTCCAGACAAATGCAAACAAAGTCAGCTGGTACACTTGGTCCCACGTCCAGGGCCGAATCAATGAAACAGATTTCCTGCAATGCTGTTTTCTATTGAGTCTGTCCCCTTCTCTGTCCTATCACAACGAGGACGACTTTGGAAGAAAGCATGGATGCTTTATTCCTGGGCTTCACCTGCACAAGCTCACCTTTAGAACTGGACACAGGTAACCCTGACTCATAAGTAAGAAAACACACGAAAGTCAGTTCTGCCGTTCCTTAACTACTTTTCATTCAGGTAGTCTTAGTGTGGAAGCCTGTGACATGCCTGGCCCCCAGAGTGAGATCTTCCTTATCACCAGCTCCGTGTTAATTCTGAAACACAAGAGGGAAAATGTGCATCCAATGGATAGAAGTTTCTTTTCGAGTCATCTGTCCTCCCGTCTTCCAGAATCATCTTAAACATCCTTGCTAAATGTTGATGGCCCTCCTCAAATTTCTCTCACCTTTCAAGTTTATAAACGACTTAGAACAGCTGTATAAATGCATTTGTCTACTTCTTATATACTTTTCAGGCACAAGTTAATCCTATTGGACTAAGATCCTAGTCGAGAATTTTTTATCTTCAGTAGAGCCCATAGAGACTCGAGCTAACTCCGAGCTGTGGGCATTCTTGCAGCTTAGGCCTGAGGTGTTCACGATTCTCGGGTACATACCCTCTGGCATGGATAGCGGCAGGAGTCCCCACTTCTCTGCCACTTCATTTCCTAAAACAAAGGAACACAAGGTAGGTATGCCCGCTTGGTGCCTGTTGGAAGCTGGGCTTGGCATTACTTGTCATACTGGAGTCAAACTGCTGTGGTGTTTTGAAAGTCTACACTAGGTGGCAAGTGGGAAGTCCGTGTGAACGCCAGCTCAAGGGCGACAGATCCCGAGAAGAGCTTTGCGGTCCTGGTGGTGAAGGCGGAGCCCTACAATGGATAAAGCATGGCTCCCACTCTTAACAGAACTCCCCTGACTTTGGGGGGGGAGGAAGGAGATGATTACACGCATGCGCACCACTGAAAAGGAGTTGGTCTTAGAGCAGCAACACGCTACGGTGTTCTTTACTGGAATCCTGACCCAGAGCATGTGCCTATTCTACCCACGGCAGGGCCTCGCCATGTATCCCATGCCCAAACATCACCTGTACCCCAAAACTCTTCTGGTGACTGTTGAGTACTTCATTGGAATATAGTTCATGGTCAGCAGACATTCCCTTTTTGTTCATTTGTTGATCATTTAAAAACCTTCCAAAATCTTTAATGTCCACAAAGCGACAATTCTCTGTTAAATTAATTGAATAAACCCGGAAAACTGCGGTATTAAAGAAGGAATTGTGCAAGACAGCGGAAAATCAATTATTATCATGCACCACAGTCAATAATAAAACTAGACGGGAAAATAATTGCTCACAAGATCTGAGGGCCTTCTCTTTGCTGTCACACACATATGCCCATCCTTTGCTGAGCAACAGAGGAATCAAGAGCCTTTTACAGTTTCACTAGTTTTTAGTAGCAATGTTAAAGGAACTCTTTTTGGTCTAAGATTGTGATAATTTAACTTAAAAATCAAAATGGTCGAAATCTAAACTAAATGATGTAATGAGAATAAATTTGATTTCTAACTATGATATAAATGCTGATCCAAGCGCTGAAGTGTTCATAAAGTTGCAGTAAGAATGCTGTATTTAAGAAATGCAATATAACAGATCATAAGGTACAGGCAGAGACAGACTATAGACACTTCAAATATATACATTTTCAATTTCAAATCATCAAAGTGTAAACACGACTCAAAATGACCGTCCTTCTGTTTTCGCTCTTATAAATGAACACAAAGAAGCTTCCAGTGCAATCCAGGTTTGTTTTTCCTCAAAAGAAAAGAAAACCAGGTAAAATTTACAATAGCAAGCATTAGTATTGCCTGACTTTTGCTAGTCTTCTAGTCTTAGGAAATGTTTGCTGAATTTGTAGTTCAGTAATGTGTCTCTTGGTTTCTCACCATAATGAGTGGCCAAGCATCAGACATCCCAAGACATAAACAGGCACCCAGTACTTGACCCCAAACAAGAACCATGAAGCAGGTCTGGCGACTCCGAACACTCAGCTACTTCCATATCATGTTTAGAACTGGTATGTCTGTTTCGGAAAGACCAAAACCTAACAAGAATGCTGTGGGCCAGAAAAAGGAGCAGGCCCTGGGAGAAAGAACAGGATTAAGTTTCTAGTTCAGATAATTTCAGAATTTATATGCTTCAAAAATAACAATAAAAAGAAAAAGTCACAATGTTACAGTTCAAAGTGAGGTCACAGAGGCAGCAGAGCCCCAGCCTCACAGACACCTGCAGCCTGATGCAGACTCTGCGCATCCAGAGGAGACATGCACAGGGCTGTGGGCAGAAGGGCCTGGGGGAGAGAAGGAAGTAAAACAGGTGCCAAGAATTCATCTAGCCTCCAGCCTTATTTGAAATTTCTTCACCGAAAAGTAGGTAACGTCAGCTTTGTAGAGTCAATGCAGCAGTGAGAGTTAGATACAGAAGCAAAAAAGCAAAACTAAAGGCAAGCAAACAAATAAAACCCTCACAGTTTGAAATGTCTCAAGACCAGTTTGTTTTCTCCTCTTCCTGCCCAACTCTCCTGAGTTAGCTTGGGTTGTTAAAATACTGGAATCCTTAATACTGGACTTAAGGATAAAATCTTACACTGCTAACGTCCACCCCATGCCTTACACACGTCTGGGAAGCTCTGGAATGTGGAAGAGAATTGCTTAGAAAAGTCATTCCAAATGTCTCTGAAATGTAACCGATAGCTGTCCTTCACAGGAAAGAAAGTTGTGTGCTCAAAAAAAAAAAAAAAAAAAAAAAAAAAAAGGTCCTGTTGACTATTACTCAAATCTCAATCTCCAACCAGTATTTCTAGTTTTAAGTTCTTAAAAGTGCATTTGTTCAAACACTAACTGAGCCCACTTGGGACATTCTGAGTAGAAAAGATGTGACAAGTCCCTGAACTGTGTCAGAGGCAGCCTGAAGACGGCCAGAATGTGTCTGAGGAGAGGAAACCTGAAAACATTCTTTCCTTAAAATCAATTTCCTGTCCAGTCTGTCGGGAGGGAGGGGCTGTATTGTTTGTCAGGGCCACCGTACCCTGAGCTAGCTGGGCTGGCCAATACACCAGCGGGTCTCAACACCCATGGCTGCACCAGGCTCTGATATTCTGTTCTTTGTTGGGCGATACATGAAGGAAAATGCTGCCCCCCCCCCCCGCAAGCCCCTTAGGACACCCACATCTGGGTTCTTAAGCCTTTTTCATTTCTTCTAGAGTTAACAAATAACTATTTTCTCTCTCTGATTCCAGCAAATGGAACAACACGATCTTTCTCTCATCTGGTAATTATGAGCTGGGAACCCACATTCCCACAACGGGACTGACTTCTAACATCGGAATTGAAGGGAGCCTCGTTTACACACTGTATTAGGATCTGCAACCCAGGAGACAGCAGCTCCCTCGTCTCAAGGCAGGCGTCCTCTGCACACAAACAACCACAGCTACTATCTCAGTTTTAAGGGCTCTCCCTGCAAACTCTGGGTAGTCCACTCACAACGCCAGAGCGAATCCTGCTCTCACTGGCTGGGTCAGGCTGGCTCTCGACGGCACGATACACTCAGCACAGCACAGGATGTTGGTAAGTAGAAGAGAAAAATGATATTTCTGGTTTGTAATTAATCAATAAATTAATAAACCAAAGGTGGTTTGGGGTTATTATGTTAGAGTTAGGAGTGAATCCAACACACAGTTCTTTAAACTGCCTACAATGGCATTATGCCCATCAGTTTCTTCTTCATCCTCTGCAGGAGAAGGGGGACAGGAAGGGGCAGGACTTCCCTCAGACTTCCCCACGGGATTACTGCTCAGTGTTGCGCTCTGTCGTGGACGTCATCTTTTCTGATTTTTTGGACTTCCTCTGCATTTGTTCTTGTTCCCTTCTCCTCAGTTTTTCTCTCTGTTTTTCCATTTTCTCGTGGGCCTTCCGAGCCTTCTCTAGAGACATCTTCATTTCCTTCAGTTTTTTTTTAACCAGTGCCCGGTCCTGGGATGACGTCATCCCAAGAGCCTACAAAGGAAGCACACGTACAAACTGAATCTGAAAAACTGCTGACCTCTTTGCTTATGATGAAGAAAACATCATACTATGCTTAATCTCATGACCTTAGTTAAACATAGGAGGAGGAGGTGAGAGCTGAGGAAAGGCAGACTACAATTGCCAAATTCTCTATGCGAGGAGGATCTGGGCTTTGTTCTTTGAAGTTCTTTGCAAAATACACTCCAGAAGTCATTAATAAAATGTTTTCCAAATTGGTGACTAATGAGTGAATAAATGAAAAGGGCACGATCCCGCTTCAACCTTCCGCTAAAGTCATCAATATCTTCCAAGGGAAGCGGAGAGCACCTGCTGTTACAGAAGGCTCCAAGAAGAGCAGGAGGAAGCGAAATGGCCTCTCTATTGCCAATGTAGTTATTTACAACCAGAACCAAAAATGTCTTTGAGACCAGCATGCCCATCTCTCTTCCCAAAGGCAGACCTATAGAGGAAGCCCAATTAAAACGATGAGGTTGCCGGATGAGTTTAGAATTGAGAATCAGGGAAGATGGCTGTGTACTTGAAATGTTCCATGACCTTCAGCATCAACAGCAGGATGCATCTGCCTCCCCAACAGGGACAGCCTTGTCGATGAGGCCTTCATATTCACGAGCTATTGATTGATCTCTAACCTTTTCAAAGACTGCCAAGAGACACTCATCAGCCTCGCAGGAGCCTGAAGCAGTGGGGAGGGGTGTGTGCAACTGGCTGCACCCTCCTCTTACCCTTTCTCCATAGGGTTGGGCGCCACCTCAGTCTTTAAGAGAGATGGGCTGGATGAGTGGAAGTGAAGGTGCAATGGAGGTGGCAGGGAGGGGCGGCTTGCATATACTTGAGGGAGAAAGTTGGGGCCATCATTTCAGTTGTCAAGTAGTAGGGAGGAGAGGGGGCGTGAGAAGAAATGAAGAAAGAAAGATTCGCACTGGCCATTACTAAACGTTAACAGTAGGATGGGAAGTGAGTAGTGTTAATACACAGGTCCTGTGTTGCCATGGGAAGCAAAGGAAGGGTTCCTAACCCTCTTGGTCAGCAGCCTATCCTGAGTCAGAACCCCTGATGAACTTCCTCAGGCTTCATTTCCTACTGAGAAACCATTCAGTATCTTTTCTGCTCAGTACTAACAAAAATTACCACATGGATATGTAGAAGACGCTTAGCTAATGAAAGTGTCAGGTGTTACAAGTCATACACACAACTGGTAACTTAGCACAGACAGAGAATCTTTACCTTCAGTTTATTGCCATCCAGCTGCAGGAGCTGCTCCCCAGTGATGTTCTGGGCACTGAATTCAGACACGTACTGGTCCAGGTTTAGGCTCATTAACCAGTGAGAAACCTGCTGCACGCTCCACTCATGAATGGCCCGATTCAGACTCAGACTGTGTTTGGGAGACTGTCCATCATCAAGGATCTGAGATAGGAATGTATGCAGTGTTGTTAAATGACCAAAACACCATGGCTCATAGTATGCTATCTCAAGCTACAAGAGCCATATTTATTTATAAACAATAAAATGATAATAGTTCTACTTTTGTTAAGAAAAACTTGTCTATGACCTAGCAATCTGGTAGATGGAAAATTAATAATATTCCACAAATAAAGCACCACTACAAATGAAGAAAGTTAAAAATTGAAAAAGTGCACACTAACTCTGATGATTTTATAATACATAAGTCTAGAGATATTATCAGAGGTAGAAAATAAATATTTTATATATCTCTATATTCAATACAACACTTTAAATTTATCCTGTTAGAAGACACTAAAGTTATATTAAAAACACGTTAAAAATATTGTCTCCTTCACTTTATAGAAAAAAGTCCTAAAGTCCTCAAGCCTCCTTAGGGAGATTTCACAACCATCACTTCATCTGAGCAAGAAGCAAACCTGTGAGGATGGTAGGGCACTAACATCCACAATTAATTTTAAGACAGGAGAAACCTAAGGCAGAGAGCTTCCATGATCATTCTTAGACAAGGCATTAGTAAGTGGCGTTGTTTAACAAGAGGCTCATTGTAAATTTCAGGCTCTGTCTTCTGTCCACTATCCCCTTTATTTGTGCAGAGGCAGGAGAGTGCCTAGAACCACTAAGTTGAGAGGAGATGAAGTCATGATAGGGCTCAGAGGAAAGATAGGAGTTTCCTTGGAGAGTTACTCGAAGAGTAGAGAAGAGAGGAGGGTGGAAGCTGAGGGGGAGGCAGAGGATGCAGGAAAGAATGGAGCTTGTCAGCTGATGGCTATGGGAGATAAATGAGGGGCCCTGGAGGGGGACTCAGCCTCTGGATCCAGGAACAACTCTTACTAAGACGTAAGGAAGTGCGATCTTTCCGTCCTCACACAGTGTTTTTGTAGTGTTGTAAGGAGAAAAAAAGCAAGTTCAAACCAGACAAGGCACCACACACCCCGCAGATAGCTCACCTCATCATCTATCATATCCAGGCTCTGGGTGAGCAGCAACAAAAGAACCGAGAAGAAGAGTGTTACAGAAATGGGACACACAACATCCACAGTGCCCTCTTTATCACATCAAAACCAAGCCCGCTAAAAAAACATGATCAGAAAAGTTTAAAAGGAAAAAAATGGAGTCTTGTTGCATAAAACTCATGTTATAAAGAAATAAGACCAACTGTTTTATATATAAGAGGAAACATATTTTAGTTACATTATTTTTTGCCTCACCCCTGACTCCCACCAATTTTTAACTAGGCAATCCCAGCATAGCTTTCTACTGCTCTCTACATATATATTTCCTGATAATTCTTAGCAAGGCTAATCCTCACTGTAGCATCTGGAGAGATGGGTCTAACTCTATTTTCTTTCCGGAACTGTGCCTAACGGTTGGTTGCAATGATTCAACTGGACCTATCACGTTCAGAGGACTGTCAAGAGCCTGGGGGAAGGGGCAACTCTGGATGAGGGAAGCGGGAACGGATAATCAACAGCCTTCGAGGAGAGGTAAACTGCTATCTAGTCTTGTTCTCAGTGCCCAGACTCCCTACCACATGTTCACATATATAACGGGAGGGCTAGGAAGCTTCAAAGGGCTCAGAAACTAAACTTTTCTTTAATGTTGAAGAAGAGTCGGGTGGAATCATGAGGACCTTATGCTAAACATAAAACTTCAGTGCTGATCATTTCTATGCTAAATCTACCATCAAATATCTCCCCACGGCGGGAAATGGAGGAAATGTGACATGAAAACTCAGCTCTGCCATGGTGCCTCTCCAGTACCTCATCTGAGGACAGTGCCAGGGACTGGGAGAGCCCCGGTGTCTTGGGTTCTGCTCCTAAGCCACTCAGGTCTGCCGAGCTGGTACTACTTGGACTGAAGTCATCATTAAAGGTGAAGTTCTGTAAGAACAAAGAAAACAGTGTTATGGGAACACACAGAGTGAACTAGAGGCAGGTGTGCTTCCAAGCCCTCATCTGCTTCACTTCTGTCAATTTTCTTCAGAAGAGACTTGACTTTGGTTTGGCGATGATGGCCTTCAACTGGGCACAAGCAGAGGATGCTGCACCTTTTGAGACAAACTGGAAACTCCGGGCACTTTCTCCATCTGATGCAGGGATAGGTGTTGTGGAGAAATGATTTTTCAGTTTCTCTCCAAGGGTACAGAATTTCATTATCCTCTGTAACAGCTCAGAGGAGTGATATTAATAAGCCCATCGGCTTTGACCCTAATTTGTGATGAGGAACAGAGCAAGTAGAAAAACAAGATGCTGTGCAGAGGCTGAGTTATCAGGAACAGATGGCAACTCATATCAGGAAGGTAGTTGGAGCACCCCTGGGAAAGACGACGTGGGGCTGGCTGTGATAAATCCTGTGAGAAGTGACAGGTCCCCTCAGGGATGCACCCTTCAGACACAACACTAGTTACATGTTGGAATATAAGCCAAAGGGACTGCATGGGATAGACCCCAAGTCTGCATCAGCTCCTGGGGTTTGGGAGGTGGAGTGCAGGAAATCATTCCCCAGAAGTCCTGTAACATGCTCAGCAGATGCTAAAACAACTGGACGATGGCCACAGAGCCTCAGTGGTGAAAACACTGTGTACTGAAACTCTCTTTAGTGTGAGATGTTAGATTCACTCAAGTGAAACTTAAGTCTCAGAACAACACAAAAAGTCCAAAGGGTTGATTATGATCAAAACTTCTTTGCTACTTATAGAATGACTGACTTCCCAGGAACTCAACACCATCTTCCTCCATACTACACTTCTCTAGGAACTGGACTGTTATTTCCACCAGGTTCCTTTGCTTTACTGAGAAGGAATACCATGCCAGAGACTGAAGAGTTTAGTACCAGACCAACTCCAAGATTTGATAAATCTTCCAAAAAGAGTTGAGGCTGGTAGAACATAGAAGCTGTAAGGTATTACACACAAAACATTACCCTTGTATTATCATGGGAGATGCAATCCTCTAGCCCCTCATTCAGAACCTTTTGAGCTGATGAACTCAAGGAAAGAAATAATCAAACAAGATTAATCACATATTTCTGTTTGGGAAAGAAGAGTGAATACGGAAAAAAGAAGCCCGAAGAACTCCAAGGTTAGCCACTGTATGTGTTTCAGTAAAACGTTAGATAAGGTTTGCAGTGTCATGCTGGAAACAACCATCAAGTATTTTAAATGCATCACACCTATGCATATAGTTTCTAATTCTGCTAATGATAAAGAACTTTGGCGACAGAATTAGAACAGGAGCTGTGCGAGTTCTACAAAACGTAGCTTCAATACAAAAAGTAAGATGCTACATGCCATGGTTTCTGTTGGTTCCTTCTGTTTGTTTCTCTTAAATGTATCGAACACAGTCAGTTCCAAATTTATCTGTTTTCCAGTAAATCTTGACGAGCACAGTGAAAGAGTTTCATAATGCAAGTTAAAGAAGAACACTTAGCATGACACTGTTTCATCATTTGAATGCTCCTTTCCCAGCATGGCTTAACTGTCAAACTGAGATTTAACAGCGGTAAGTGAAATGACAGGCAAGTGAAGAGAAACACACGTTAGAATGGACCAGTGTTGAAAAGGGTGCTGGTTAGGTAAGGCATTACTCCCCACAAAGGAAAAACCATGCATGCCTATGGCAGTGTTAGCACATTGGTTCCTGAGACCCAGGGTGTACACAAAGGTTGAGAAGGCCTTCTAAAAATTGAGAGGAGATAGGAATGGAGGCTTTCTTGTCATCTCTTTTAGTCCGGTTGTCTACCTTGGACCCTGTTTTATCTGAAATTAGGGTCTCAGGAGAAGGCGGAAGGGGACTCGGAACTGAAGGCAGGTTTCTGAAGGAATAGGATCCTTTCCGACTTTCAGTAAACCATGAGAAAGGCATGCAAGGAGAGCGAGGAGTGGCCTGAGCCGCAGGAGGAGGCTTGGCTTTCCAGTTCTCCAACTTGCTTCTGAAGACCCTGCGGTGTGAAAAGAATGACCACGTTAGACAGAGAAATGGCAAAAGACATACTGAACGCAATTCCAAAGAGACTCTCTACACAGGTAAAAACTGAGAAACTGTTCTATTTAGGATAGTAAAAATGGAACTATTTGGGCAATAGCATTAACCTTAATACTTTCCTTTTTGCATTTTAATGGAAGCTATTGTTTTGAACTGCTATTTCCATAGAGAAATTGTACTAAATGAGCCTTTGTAAGTATTCATGAATGAATTCTAAGACAGCCATCAGGAGAGTGACACCGGCCCATAAGCATCTTTCTTCCTGCCTACCTCTGGATTCATCTCCCTGTGTCTATGACTGAAAGATTCAGTGATTTGGAAATTTTGGAGCATGTGTTATGTTAAGCAGAACATGAAGATTTTTTTTTAATCAAAAGCTCAGTCTCTTTTCACAGGAGGAGTATAGGGCCTGAAGTCATCATGGATTGCTTGGAAACTGAAAGCCTAACACCTCCTGAGCGTGCGGCCTCAGGCCTTCTCTGTCCCTCTGTCCCCATCTATATAAAGCGAGTATTTTGATGTATCTCACATGTGACTTCTATGAATTAAGTAGGTTAATATTTGTTAAAAAGGTTAAAAAGCCATGAAAGTCACTTAAGGTCTAGAAATAGTTAAAGGCTCAAAGGCAGTTGAAAAACAGTTTTTCTTTTTTAAACTTAGTGTAGGTACTATCATATTTGTATTCATCTACTTGTGCAGAAGCTGGAGAAGAAAATGCCTGTGTGCATTTGGAAGAGATGAAGCTCAGTATCACTGAACAAATGACATTGTATGGAGCCAATTTCTGGGTAATTGCTGATATTATGACAACAGGAATCCCTTCAATTGAAACTGCCTTGATACCATAGACTTCAGATGCTTTCTAATCCTAGTTGATGCTGGTTCCCAATCCCTTTGGACCCCATTTTAAGCACATTTTGAAATAGAATTCAAATTGATATAGACAGAATCAAGTCTTAAACCTTCGGGCTTATCTCCAAATTGTATACAAGAACCAAAAGCAGCAATCCTCATGCAAGCATCCTGGAGACTGTAGGTGATACACAGATGCAAAAGGTTGCAAAAATATCTATGAGAACAGAAACCCTGTGAAGCTTTGGTAAAACTTACACAGCAGGATAGGCAAATGATGTAGGTGGTTCTTCTTTCTATGTGCTGCTTTCATTGGTTAATTAATAAAGAAACTGCTTGGCCTGATAGGTCAGAACATAGGTGGGTGGAGTAGACAGAACAGAATGCTGGGAAGAAGACAATGAGACAGACACCATAGCTCTCCTCTCCGAGATGGATGCAAGTTAAGATCTTTCCTGGTAAGCCACCACCTCGTGGTGCTACAAAGATAATTAGAAATGGGTTAATCAAGATGTGAGAGTTATCCAGTAAGAGGCTAGAGCTAATGGGCCAAGGCAGTGTTTAAAAGAATACAATTTGTGTGCTGTTATTTTGGGTATAAAGCTAGCCGTGTGGGAGCAGGGCAGTAAAGCAGCCCGCCGCTCTTCACAACAGGCAAATACAATTGATGGTCATATACAAGAATCCAGAAGACACGGCCATGTTATAGTGTCTTTGTGTGTGTGTGTGGGGGGGGTGTTTTAAGAATAACAGAAATCAAGGTGAGACAGGCTGACCTTGAACCCCATATTAAAGCTTAAACTAAATGGCAAACTTGTATTCTTAATCTAGTAACTCATTATCACCAGACAGGAGAGTCCAGCAGCTGAGCCAGAGCACACTTGCAGTGGCCTTGTGCTCTTGATGGGCACATTTTACTCTTTGCCCATGGACCAACTAAAGCTGGTACAGCTGCTAGAGTCACAACTCAGAAGAGGAGAGAAGTTGGTGTGGAGTCGGTATGTTAACACAGGTCTGAGCTGACTCTTTAAATACCCCCATTTTCACTTATGATTATCTCGAATGCAAGTGCAACACAAGTCATTACAGACAGGAAACATCAGTGATCACGTATGTAAAATCGCTTCCTGGCACTTTGAGTCCTCGAAGCTTTCATACCCCCATCTCTAGTGAGGTGAAGGATTCTGGAAACATAATTCTGGATGGCAATAAAGCAAGTGGACAGATGTCTGCCTCCCTTCTGGGAGAGAGGGAGAAAGCTTATCTCCATAAGGCAAACAATCTCAGTTAAAATGTAAACAATTACTTCTAGGAGGGTGATACTATTAGACTCAAGCTTTATCTCAGCAATAAACTCTTCCCACCCCCTTCAAATGTGGCTCTGTGCTATCTGGGAGGGTAGCTCTTTGGGGCTCTCACTTAACTTTTAGGGTGTGTCTTCAACTATGCCCCTACATTTTAGTAAAAATGCCCATAATAGTGTGTGCAGAAATATCTCTGTAGTTCCACACCTCAGAGACCAGACACGGGAAGGAAAAGATGGTCCTGAAGGTAAAGGAACTGACTTTGGTCACTAGATAGCCGCCCTCTGGGAGTTTGCGGGGAAGCTATGTGACAAAGGGCAGCATGACACCTCATCCTACTCCCATAGCAATCGTCTTTGTAGCTGTGGTTCTAAATCACCACCACTACCTTAAGGGGATGAAAGGGAAGGGGGTCAGAATGCTGCCACTCACTGGCTTCATTGAAAGGGACTTTAGGGAATCTCAACCTAGAGCAAGCAACAGCTGAAAACAATCTGAAAATCCCCGGAAAATATTAAATACTAATAATGAGCATGAATATTTGCATATAGTATTGAGGATGGGCTCCAGGCCATGCTGTTCTTATAGTGGTGAACAAGGTCAAGGAACCCCAGACTAGGACAGAGGCTCTCTTTCTGCAGCCTTACACACAAAGATAATGGAAAGTTGGGGAAAGAGTTAGCAGGAAGCAATGACACCCACTTACAGGGTAACAAGAATTGTCTCACAGCTGAAAACTGGAAGATTCTGGACTTTTGTTTTGTTTTGCCCTTTCAGCTTTCCGTGAGTCTGGCTGTGCCCTGTTGTGTCTATCTTCTGGTTTCATTATTTATTACCTATAGCTTTAACATCCATGACTGTGTAACTAACCCCTGTATGTAACCTTTCTTTATTCTCAAAGAAAAGAGCTCACTTCCATTTGCCTGGACCTGGAATAATAGAATATGCATCAAGACACCCAATACTCTATTCCTTTAAAATTACAGATGCGACCGCCTACCAGGCATCTTTACTAAAGCAAACACCAATTTTGTCCTGGATAAATTGAACTCTTGAGCCTATGAAGGAGCAGAAAGGGCTTGGTAGCTTGAGTTCTGCTTTTACTGCCTCTTATTCCCCGTCTTACTTTGAGGAGAAAATGTTCAGAACAATACAGTATTCTACCTTCTTCCCTCTTCACCTCCTCCCTTCCTTTTTTCTTCCCTCTTTCTTTCTCTTTCTTCCTCTCTCTTTTAAGTCAAGAGAGGTAGAGTGGATAATTAATGGAAACGAATATGACTTCCAGAAGGCCAAAGGAGCTACATTTTTACACTTCTTTCACCTATGGTAATTTATACACCAAAAGCTTATCATTAAGAAAAAAAATCAGAGAATCATAAGTCCTTGCCATTGTACTTCCTTACATGTTTTATTGTTAGGTACTAGAAGAAATAATTGTCATCAAATTTAATTTTCATAAGCTAAAGATGTCATTGGACTAACCTTTCCTGGTCGTCAAATGGTTTGTGGCTAATAAGTTTCTTAACTTTCTATTTAACTCATTTACATAGACTCTGGAACCCATTTATCCTGGGGTTGGTACCCTAAAAAAAAATCAGCTTTTTAAATTAAATTCCCACAGTGATATTTGTTGTTTCAATTCTGCAAATACGGTATATTAACTATTCAGAATCTAGTAAGATATCATCAAAATATCATTTACAGTTCATAAACTGTCAGGCAGCAAGAACATAAAGAGCCACGGAATTGTGTAGATTGCAACAGCTACAAGAGGAATGTGCATGGATGCCCACTCATCTAAGTCAGATGAAGTCATTTTGAGACGATCTAAAATCCACTGAAGAGACCGAGGCTGTGAGGCCAGACCCATCCACAGGGAACTTAGAGATCCTTCTGGGGAGCATTAGAAACATGTACCCATCTGGCACCCGGGCACCGTCACCCTGGACATCTGGCTGGACTTTCTGATCAGCAGCCAAGAGTCCCTCTTAGAGACACAGTAGACAGCTCGGCCCCAACTCCCAGGAGATGATCAAACCGTTCTCTCTCCTCTGCAGGCTTTCAGCTGAATAGCAAAAGGATAATAATGCAGATCCACGCTCTCGAAACAGATGTTAATTTCTGGACAATAAATCCACCGCTTGGGTATTCAAGAAAAGTGTGCTATTCTAAATCTGAGCAAAGTGTGGCTTCTGGCTCTATTAAAATTCTATTTTCATTAATTTTGGTGATTGGGTTTAAACCAGAACCTTAGGCAGGCTAATCACACATTCTGCATCTGGCATACATGTTTAGAAATTTAAATTCACTTTAACGACCTGCACCTCTTTTTTTCTCCATTTTTCCTTCCTCCCTCCCTCCCTCCCTCCCTTCCTGTGATGTATGTACATGAACATTTGTGTGTGCATGTGTGTATGCAGAGGCCAAAGGCTGACAATATCAGAAGTCTTTCTATGCCACTCCCACCTTCTCTTTTTTGAAGCAGGGGCTCTTGCTGACTGTGGAGCTTGCCGTTGTATAGGCTGGTTAGCTAGGGAGCTCCAGAGGGCCACACAGTCCGTTCTAAGTGTTGGAGTCTTAGACCTGCACTGCCACAACCAGCTCTCACACGGGTGCCAGGGACCTAAACTTAGGTTCTCATGAATGTTTGGCAAGTATTTTACTGATTGAGCCATCTCTCCAGCCCACCAAATCTCATTTTGGATTTTTTTTTATATATATATATAAGGTCAGCCAAACAGACAAAAGCAACGATGCTTACTTAGAGTCTCCCTTACAGTTACAAATTTAATATAGGATG